GGTTGGGGGGGGGGAATCTCCCATCTTCCCCCGTCCCCGTGGTGGGTGGCGAGGTGTGTGCTGGTGTGGATGTCCTCCTCCAATCCCCGCCCGGCCCCATATCGGCCCCCGTCCCCACGTCCCCATGTCCCCAGGGTCCCCCCCGTCCCCATCCCGGGCCCTCCCTCACCTGCCGCTCTTCGGGAACCGCTAACGGTCGCCGAGCCTCTCAGACTCAGCCTCCGGCCCTTCCTCATTTGGCGGGTGGCTCTCCTTTCCCTAGTCTCCGACCGTCAAACCAAGGGATGAGAGCAACTAGGCGACGTTTGACAGAGACTCCGTCACCCCTCTGCGCCGTTGCTCCCGCTCCGGGCCACCACCTGATAGGTGCAGCCGAGCCCAATCGGCGCCGAACTTCCGTTATAGCGATTGCCTATTGGATAAGTGCGCCGTCCATCATCTCGGGCCCCGCCCCTTCCGGCGGCTTCCACCAATTGCTTTGTGGGAATTGTAGTTCCATCCTTTCGATCCTGTGTAAAAACCGAAAGAACTGCGGAATCAGAAACAAAAACAGAAATTGCTGGAAAAGCTCAGCAGGTCTGGCAATATCTGTGCAGAGAAATCAGGGTTAACGTTTCAAGTCCGCTGACCCTTCCTCAGAAACTGCGTTGTTGGAGCCTCTTGACTTACAATCATCTCTTAATGTCAATTTGAACATCTTTGTACATCCTTTCATCGCTCATTTTGGCACTAGGACGTTTTGCCCACCACATTGAAGCATCATGCATGTAGGCTGTGGACCCAGCACTGGGATGTGGGATGAGAGTAGTTGGGCGTGCAAACACAATGGGCTGAAGGGCCTCTTGCCAATGCTGTAAATCCTTATGATTGCAACTGTTCGGGAAATAGGCAGCAGGTGAGGATTACTGTGTAGTAGACCGTGACCATTGTGAAGCAGAGAAGGAGTGCAAAGCCATTCAGGATAAGTGTGAAGTAGATGAGGAGGAGTGTGTAGCAGCAGAGGACTACTGTGAAGTAGCCCAGGAGGGTGTGAAGTAGACGGGAAAGAATGTGAAGCAGTTAAGGGTCAGTGCGAGGCAGCCCATGACGAGCATGCGGCAGATCAGGTTTACTGCAAAGCAGACTTGGAGGAGCATAAAGTGATAAACACTACAGGAGGAGGAGGATCCTCAAATATTCCCATCCACAATGATGAGGGAAAGCAGCACAAAAGATAAAGCTGCAAAACATCTTCAGCTAAAAATGCCAAGTGGACAATTCACCTGGGTCTCATCCAGAGGCACTCAGAATCACAGATGCTAGCCTTCAACCAATTTGTTCTGCTGCATGTGATATCAAGAAATGGCTGGAGGCACTGGATACAGCAAAGGCTATGGTCCCTGACAATCATACTGAAGTCTTGCCACGCCTCCTAGCCAAGCTGATCCAGTACGGATGCAACACTAGCATCTAGCCAACAATGCGTAAAATTGGCCAGGCATGTCCCGTACACAAAAAGCAGGACAAATCCAACCCAGCCAGTTACTGCCCCATCAGTCCCATTCATCAGTAAAGTGATGGAAGTCATCTACAAGAACACAGGCAGCATATGCTCAACAGTAACCTGTTCAGTGATGCCCAGATTGGGGTCCACCAGGACCACTCAGTTTCTACCTTTGTTACAACGTTGGTTCAGAGATAGACAAAAATGTTTAATTCCAGAGGCAAGGTGAGAGTTCTCATAGAAACATGGAAACTAGGAGCTGGAGTAGACCATACCGCCTTGTGAGACTGCTGCACCATTCAATATGATCACGGTGATCCTTTATCTCAATGCCATATTCCCATTCTCTCACCTTGATGCCTTTAAAACAAAAACTTTATCTATCTCCTTAATGAATATATTCAGTTACTCAGCCTTCAATGGTAGTGAAATCCATGGGTTAACCCCTTGAGGAAAGAGATGTTTTCTCTTCTCAGACCTAAATAGTCTACCTCATTATCATGAGACTGTTCCCCCCACCCCGTTCTAGACTCCCCTACCAGGAGAAACATCCTCCCTGCATTTCGTGTATCCAGCTCTGTTACAGTTTTATGCGCTTCAATTAGATACCCTGCCATTCTTCTAAACTCTAGTGAAGAGGCCCAGTTGAAGCAATCTCTCCTTACCATAAAATCTGTTAGGCATTAATGATCTAAAACAAGAGAGAATCTAACCATCAACCCATGACATTCAATGGCATCACGATCAGCAAAAACCACACCATCATCATCCTGGGAGTTACCATTGACCAGAAACTGACATATAAATACAGTGGCCACGACAGAAGGTCAGAGACTAAGAATCTTACAGGAGCAAATGCATGAGAGAAAGAACTCTTTCACAAAGTGAGTATTTAGGGTATGGAATGCACTACCTAGAAGTGTGGTGGAGGCAGGTTCAATTGAGGTATTCAAAATAGTATTGGATGATTATTTGTATAGAAATAACATGCAAGAGATGGGGAAAAGGGAAATGATTAGCAGTAGGTAATAATGTTTGCTTAACAAGACGGGCCAAGTGGCCTTGTTCTGTACTGTAAAACATTTGTGTTCTGAGTAACTCATCTCCAGACCCTTCAAAGCCTGTCTGCTGTTTACAAGGCAAAGTCAGGAGTGTAATGGAATACTACCCAGTTGTCTGAGTGGGTACAGCTCCAACAACACTCATTAAGTTTGACAACATTTGAGACAAACAAGCTCATTTGACTGGCAGCACATACATCAACATTTACTCCCTCCACCACCAATGCACAGTAGCAGCAGCATGTACCAGCTACAAAATGCACTGCAGAAATTCACCAAAGCATCTTCAACAGTACCTTCTAAACCCACAATCACTTCCATCTAGCAAGACAATGCAGTACGTTCATGGGAACACCACCACCTACAAGTTTCCCTACAAGCCACTCACTATCCTGACTTGGAACTATATGGCGGTTCCTTCAACGTCACTGGGTCAAAATCCTGGAACTCCCTGTCTAACAGCAATGTGGGCGAATGCCAAAGAAGAGTCATTGGACTCAAAATATAACTCCCTTTCTCCACAAATACTGTTAGGCCTGCTAAGTTTCTCCAGCATTTTTTTTATTTCAGATCTTCAGCATCTGCAGTATTTTATTTTTATTACAGCACTGTGGCTGTTCCTATATCAAAAGGACCAGAGTACTACAAGAAAGCAGCTCACCACTGTCCTCTCAAGGGCCACTGGGGTTTGGCAAGAAATATTGGCCCAGCCAATATTGAATGATTTGTAAAAAAAGATTTGCTGTCCTTGTTTGCTCTGGCCTGCATATGATTCCAAACCCACAGCAATGTGGGGGCAGTGATGTAGTGGTGATTTCACTGAACAGATATTTAACACCCCTGGGACAATGTTTACTGTGTTGAAAATTGAATTAAATAAAAAAAACTGGAATAAAAATGGAGCTGGTCTGATGGTGACAACATAATCACTATCAATTGTCAGGATGTCTCATGAGGAGAGATTGAGCTGTGTAGACCTACATTCACTATGGTTTAGAAGAATGAGAGATATAATTGAGGTATGAAAGATTCTTAAGGGGATCAATAAAGTAGATGTAGAGAGGATATTTCCCCATGCAGGGAAATCTAGAATAAGAGGTCATAGTTTTAAAATATGCGGTGGCAGATTTAAGGGTCAAATAATTATTCCAGTGGACACCCAGATGCTGAATAAATTTAATAAGGATATTGATTTTTAATTAACACACGGCAGCTGAGTGATTAGCACTGCTGCCTCACAGCACCAGGAGCCCGGGTTCGATTCCACTCCTCGGCGACTGTCTGTGTGGAGTTTGCACATTCTCCCCGTGTCTGCGTGGGTTTCCTCCAGGTGCTCTGGTTTCCTCCATCAGTCCAAAGATGTGCAGATTAGGTAGTTTGGCCATGCTAAATTGCCCATAGTGTTCAGGGATTGTAGATTAGGTGGGTTATAGAGAGGGGATGGGTCTGGGTAGGATGCTCTGAGAGTTGGTGTGAACTTGTTGGGCCGAAGGGCCTGTTCCCACATTGTAGGAATTCTAAGAAATTCTAATTGTTTGAAGGGTTGTAGAGAGTAGACAGGAAAGTGGGGTTAAAGCCGAGATGAGATCACCCACGATCATATTAAAGGCAGTGTAGGCTTGAGATGCTGAATTGCCTATGCTTGTTTCTAGATCTTATATAATTCAAAATCAGTAAAAATGTCATCACTTTTCTGGTAGACCATGAGGTGGCAGTATCATCAAAGATACTGCCTGCTAATGAGGATAACATATCTATAGTTTAATAACATTTAATAACAGTAAAAATGTACATATGTAATGCCTTTAACTCCAAATGTAAAATGTCTCAAAACACTTGGCAGGAACTAATAACTAACCCAGAATTAATGAAGACATATTAGAATAATGACTAAAAGATGATAGCTGGTAGCATTGTTACTGTTGGCCAGGTCAGAAAGTTGCAGTATAGTTTCTAGCTGACTGACTGGAATTCACAAACCAGACTGAAGTACTGGGGGAAGAGTATCACTTCGTCCAGCACTGATGCACCATCTACAGGATGCATTGCAGCAACTTACCACAGCTCTGCCAAAAGCACCTCCCAGATCCACGATCTCTCCCTCTCAGAAAGACAAAGGCAGCAGCTACATGAGAAAATCACTAACCTGCAAGTTCCCCTCCTAGCTGCCATTCCTGCAGTGTCACTGGGTCAAAATCCTGGAAATCATTCCCTAAAGGCATTGTGGACGGCTCTAAGCCCCAAGGACTGCAGCGGTTCAAGAAGGCAGCTCACCAGCACCTTTTCCAGGGCAGTCAGGAACGTGTAGAAAATGCTGACCGAGCCAGCAATGACCATTTCAAAGAACAAAGAAAATTACAGCACAGGAACAGGCCCTTTGGCCCTCCAAGCCTGCGCCGATCCAGATCCTCTATCTAAACCTGTCACCTATTTTCCAAGGATCTGCATCCCTCTGCTCCCTGCCCATTCATGTATCTGTCTAGATACATCTTAAATGACACTATCATGCCTGCCTCTACCACCTCCGCTGGCAACGCGTTCCAGGCGCCCACCATCCTCTGCGTAAAGAACTTTCCACGCATATCTCCCTTAAACTTTTCCCCTCTCACCTTGAAATTGTGACCCCTAGTAATTGAGTTCCCCACTCTGTGAAAAAGCTTCTTGCTATCCACCCTGTCTATACCTCTCATGATTTTGTAGACCTCAATCAGGTTCCCCCTCAACCTCTGTCTTTCTAATGTAAATAATCCTAATCTACTCAACCTCTCTTCATAGCTAGCGTCCTCCATACCAGGCAACATC